CCTATCTATGTTACGGACTGTCCAAACGGTATCTTCGTATCTTTCACGGATGAGGAGATAAAAGGGGACTTAATTGGTTTATCCTATATATATATATATATGGTGGCAGAGTTTTTGGGGTACATTAACATACCCCAGACCACACCATATCATACCAGACACAGAATCAGATAAAACAGCGCGTATAGTCTCCAAACTATGACCACATACAACACCACTGAACGAAATACAAATACAGGACAGCAAATAACAAAATATAACACAAACTACAAACAACAGAAATGTCGAGACGAGACGAGACGATCGAAATTAAACAATTAAATGGACATATGAGAAGGTTGAAATCGGATAGACTTCCACAAAAGTTTGGGAGTGGATACCAAATCGAAGAAGATACAGGTAAGATCAAGAAGAACGTGGAACATGGCAATAACTGAAGCCATGGAAAAAAAGAAAAATGTAGGAAAACGATATATGGGATAAAGAGGCATGGAAATTGGGCTGCGGAAAACGGCCAAGGCTGTAAAAAACCGCTATATAGATAGATAACACACAAGCAAATTACAATTTTAAACATATTGAAAATGTACATCGTTCGTCAACCTTGAATGGAATATTTTTTCCTAATCGAATACCTTTTTAAAATGCTCGTGCACGGGTAGTACTGCTTGGGCCAGCACCTTTAAATCGTAATAAAACGTTAAATTCCTTGATTTGATTACTATAACACAGTAAATTCCTTATACACAAATCTCTATCTCTACCAATCGCAATAATTTATCAAAAGACTTATCCAACTACAACTATATAGTTAATTTCCTCAACAAGATTACACAGAAACAATAAACAAATGTTTTACTTTACTATTAACAATACTTTTTCTTCTCGTAAACATAACACCTGACTGTATTACTAGCTTACAAGGTTCTCTTTCCGTTATTATATGCCGATATCTAGTTCGCATGACAATCTACGTGATTATGCAAATTTGGAACGGTAGTCTTTCTGTTAGTGTCTCAGCACGTTAGCATTCACACTCCGTTAGCACTCAACTTCCGTTACACGTAACTTCCGTAACTCCGTAGCACAGTTAGCACTTAACTTCCGTTACAAAATGTATAACCTGCGGTAGCGTGCACTGTCCGCGGCTCGCAAACCTCGGTTCTTTGCCGCTCATTCGACCTTGACCCAGACTCAGCTGCCACCGTTCCGCTCTCCTGTCCAAATGTCCTCGATGTTGCACCACAGCTGTTGTCCAGTCTTCATTCTTTCGGAATCGGCGCCTACGCTTGCTGCTTGGCCCTTCCGCCTTCATCTTCGTCCTCGCATTGCTTACCAGTAGCACGCCGACGCGTGATATTCAATCCTTATGCGTTTTACTAGTGGTGTAATTTCAGAGTACTTGAACACTTTAGATTTGTGTTGCCAAATTAAACTTCTTACGACGCTTCGTGATAATCTAGCTCCTCCTTCTCTTTACTATTATTTCCACCTCAAATCTCCTATAACTGCACTCATTTCAAATAACTGCAACACCACTGTCGAATTCTGCGTATCTTGCTAAATCTCTATGCTCTCTCTATGCCCTATCGGTCTTGCTCACCGTCTTCTTACCTCGGCGTCTCGTACAGAATGTTCTTACTAGCGCTGTCCCACAAGGTGTAGACTCCGACTTGCCGGCCTCGCTTACCGCGTTCGTCTGGTTTCCTCGGCATCTCGTGCAGAAAAGGGGCGAGCGGTTTTGTTCCTCTATTAAAGGGGGTGGTGTGACGTCACGGCGAACTCTTCCGTATTTTCCATAAATTGTTCGTCGCCGTCGCACCGCAAATTACAGATAGTGCCGCTTCTGTAGTGAATGATTTGCGCGCCTGTGTCACGGTGACCTGTCCTGGCTTTATAATATATATATATAATATATATATTATATATATATTATATATAATATATATATATATATATATATATATATATATATATATATATATATATATATATAGAGAGAGAGAGAGAGAGAGAGAGAGAGAGAGAGAAGAGAGAAAAGAGAAAAGAGAGAGTTAGTTAGTAGCGGGTAGAGGCTCGACCAGCGAGGAGTGCAGACCATTGTGTAATAAACGGAGGAGTGGATGTAGTACCAAAGCCAGTAATAAGTCAGAATAATTGATGCGTATAGGATTACCTGGAATGTAAGGTGATGAACATGATGGACAATTATGGACTAGACGTAGAATGAATATACATGGTAACGACAATGTAGTATATTATAAAGAGTCAGTGCCGGTGGAGATTCCCAGTGGAGATTAGGGCAATCATTTCAGAGTCTCAATTTTTGGTGTAAATTATGTGTTTATTCATGTGTGTGCGTGTTATAAAGACGAAGCGGGTTAAAAGCAATTAAACCCTGTTTAACTATTGCAATGTTTTTTGTGGTCGGGGTTCAGACTTTCTCGCACAACCACAGATCCTGCGTCCCGAGAATTTTAAGCTCGCTTCACAGCAAATCGTGATAACCGCTACTGGCTCAACGGTGCCGCCCGTTCAAGGTAAGACGTTACTACTGGGTAAGGACGGGTTGAATGTATTATATATTATATATATATCTTATATATATATATATATATATAATATATATATATATATATATATATATATATATATATATATTCATTCATTCATTCAAGATTCAAAACGCATTTCATGTTCCCTGCTTCCCTCCATTGGCATGGTGGAGGCATGGTGGAAAGAAATGGGTGTTTTACTCGGGCGCACTAAATTATGCTCCTTCTGCTCAACATACGTTTGCATCACGAACCATGTGACCACAGCACGAACACTTCATTTGCAAAGCTTGACCAGACGCTGGCCGCCATGTTGCACGGAGAGCGAGAAGTGGTGAGTAACATTTTGAGTGGCATAAAGTGACAATTTTCAACGGTAACCAACCAAAAATAATGCGAAGAAGGTGTACAGGATTCGATATTTAAAAGAAATATTTCATAAATCTGTTTTAAAATTTATAACGATATTTTTGGCAACTGACTGCATTTAAAATTCCCGCTGATATTGTGATGCAAACTAGTGTCAGAAGCTTATTGGCTGAAGTAGGATACGATGCACAATAGCCCCCATTGGTTACACTATGAGGCAGAGGAAAAATCGAAAACCGTTTTCTTTCCCAAGACAAGAAAGTGATAATAAAAGATACACTAAAATATTACAAACTTTTGAAAAAATCTTATGGCGTTAATGGGTTAAGTAAGATTCCCTCTTTTGTTCAGTGGGAGAACCGCTTATAATACTCTCTGGGACAACCCGGAACAATATGTATTGGTTGGTAGGGTACAGAGAGAGGAGCGCTGCAAAGGAAAGAGAGATACGAGTCGTCGCTGTCAGACAAGAGCATCTTGTGCCACGTGTGAGGTGATCTTCATATGAGATTTGAAGAAAGAATGGAAAAATGTACTTTATTTTCCCGGAGTACTGAAATAATACGATATATGAAATAATGTACTGAGAAGGGTATCGATGTCCTATGATCATAGAAAAAATGTTCAGTTACGGGTTTTACTGCAAACAAAATAAGTAGTGAACCGGTGACAGACCCGGATATGTAAGAAAGCTGTCAAGAGGAAGATAAAATAATCATCCTATATTTCTTAAGATGTTAGGTTAGACGTCAACTAGTGCATGGATAGGTGTGGCAGGATTAAATCAATTATATGCGGTGTATGCCCGTACAAAAACGTGTGTTGTGCTGAAGACTGTGACTTGAAAAGTGAACAATCACATCCTGAGATGGCATCAGCAAAGAAAGAAACTAAAACAATAATAAAATATTTAAGTTTAGTAACTTTAACATTACAGAATGCAATTCTAGGTTTGAGCATGAGATATGCCAGAACAAGGTCAGGAGATATGTTTATGTCTTCCACAGCTGTAGTAATGGCAGAATTTGTTAAATTATTTTCATGTATTGGTCTTGTCTACAAAGAAGAAGGTTCATGGAAGAAGTGTGCCAAAGCATTACACAGTACCATTATACAGCAACCATTTGACACCTTGAAAGTTTCAATTCCTTCTCTTGTATACATTGTTCAAAACAATTTGTTGTATGTATCAGCTTCACATTTGGATGCTGCCACTTATCAAGTGACATATCAACTAAAAATTCTTACCACAGCAATGTTTACATTTTTAATTTTGAAACGCAGCTTACTGTTTAATCAGTGGGTAGCATTGATTATTTTACTTATTGGTGTTGTTCTTGTGCAACTTGCTCAAACAGATGATGGCCCAGTAAATGGTATAAAACAAAATAGGCTTATTGGGTTTGGAGCTGCATTATCTGCATGTATTCTGTCTGGATTTGCAGGGATATATTTTGAGAAAATTTTAAAAGGATCTGATATATCGGTTTGGATGCGCAATGTGCAACTTAGTTTTCTTTCTTTACCATTTGGACTTTTTACATGCCTTTTATACGATTGGAACAAAATTTGGTATGACGGATTCTTTTTTGGATACAACTATTTTGTGTGGTATTTAGTAGTTTTACAAGCCGGTGGAGGATTAATTGTTGCAGTAGTTGTTAAATATGCTGATAACATACTAAAAGGGTTTGCAACATCTTTAGCCATAGTAATATCTTGTGTGGTTTCAGTATATTTATTTAATTTCAATCTCACATCCCAATTTGTTTCTGGTGCTTTATTAGTAATATGTTCCATATTTATGTATAATTACAGACCGAAAACCAGTGATTCACAAACCAGCATTAACCATAATATTAAAGTCTGATAAGAGATAAAAATATCATGTTCAATTTTATGAAGCAAGAAAGTAACAAAGTAATTTTTTTAATGAAATTTTTTGTGACGTAATCATTATTTTAATTTAATGTACTTTGTATTAAAAAATTATAGCTACCTGATAATATCAGCATTTCTTGAAGTTAATGTTAATATATTTATACTCTGTGTGAACGGGAATAAATTCTATGAGTGTTGTGAAATTTTATCAATTGAAAGGAAAAATCAATATTAATTAGATGCAAGATACAAAATAAAATACAGCTAAGATCCTTCCAGAAGCATTCCCAAGTAAAAGATACTTTCCTTCATTTACTTTTGTAGTTTTTTTTAATGCAGTTCAGAATGGTATACATTTGAAAGATTGGTATCGGATATTAGTATTTTTTGTCAAGGAGCAGTCAACAAATGTTAAAGATGACAAATCCCTTTGAAACTTACTGTTTTATGTAAAAATCTTTTACTCTCTCAACCTTTTAAATTTGTCCCCAAAAAATGTTACTGAAAATATTGAGTTCAAAGAGAGAGGGATGTTTTTTCTCATATTTTTGCAGTCGATATTCATTTCTAAAATTACTTAATGTAGCAATTTGTGTTTTGGATGAACTGTAGTTTTACAGCAGATTTTTGTATTTTCTATATAAAAAATAACATACTAGTATATTGCACAATCCTGTGTGAAAGTTTTACATTTTGTGTTAAGGTAGTAATAAGACACTTTCAAATGCCATGTATTCACTATTAGTATAATGTAGAGAATAGGACTCTGGTCATACATTTTTGCTGTTGCTTCCTCCAGTGACATCCCTCGGTTCTTATTAGTTCCCTTCTATTTTTATTTCAATTCATTGTAGGTACAAATACGGCAATATTGTACTTAAACAGGCATCACCACCAAGGGGTTGTGTTCTCCCAATATTTATTTTGGTGTAAGGGATTTATTGTAGGGAACTCCCCAGTTATGAGCTCCATGTGTATTCATTGTTGCCATTCATTTGGTGCTTGTGACACCCACATCTACTTATATTAGTGTTTTTATTGTTGCCAAATTCTAAATAAATGTAAATCTTTTATTTTCCTTACTGTGTTACAAAACACATGTGTATTTCTACCTCGGGTAAGTTCAAATGTATTTCATCCAACTTATTGCTAACATTAAAAATATACGAGCTAGACATATTTAGTATTTACTACTACAATTAAGAGTTGCATTTCAATTCTACAAATATTTCTCAGCATGTCTTCATTGTTTTAGTTATGGCATGTCAAATACAAAAAGAAAAATGTCACTTCATTTCTATTATGTCAATACCTTTTCAATAAAATGTTTACAATTGATTAACAAATGACTTTCTTGGTAAATATCAGGAAATTGTTAGGAATGTCATTGTCAAATATTTTGTAGGCAGAAATTTAAAAATATTTCAGTAATGTTCAGTATACAACTAGAAGAATGTGTTTCACATTTAAAAACAAACTCCATCTAAGAAATGATTTCTTTATTGGAGCTTTGTTGTTATTATTGTACATGCATTTGTCACAATTTCATTTCTTTGAGGTAAATGTATAGTTGTTCTCACACATTTTATTCCTTTATTTTTATAATAATAATTTATTTATAAATTCAGAACCATTATCAGAATGAACATATCACAGGTGTTTCAATTTTCTCTTCTTTCTACAAATTCTTTGATTCAGCACATTCATTTTCTGATTTTAAAAAATCAACGAAATATCTTTTAATAAATTCATTAATAATCATTAACATACAGCTGCTTCCTCCTAGTGACTTTTCCAGCATAGATCCGCACAAATCTATATGTATACACTATAATATTCTTATGGTTTTTTCTTGCAATATTTCATTAAATGGTAATGCAACTTTATGTTGTATGTAAAAAGACATCACTTTTCAGATCAGTAATTTCAGCACCATCCTCCTACCATATTATCTTTATTCATTTTCAATAAATATTTATGATGAATATGTCCTAATTGTTGATGCCATTAGTTGTTTATTGATTTATTTACTTTAAAACACATCTCATTTTGACGATTTTCCATTTCATCACTAATGTTCACTAACAAAATAAAAATATCTTCATAATAGCCTCTAGCTATTAAATTTCTACTTCTTTTGCCATACTTCTTAACTCCACTATCATTTAACACAATTGTCTTACCCTTTTTTAACAACACTAGTCACCAGTAATAAATTGTTATTAATTTCAGGCACATTTAACACACTTCAACACTCACCAGTTTATCTTCATATAATTCTGTTTATTCTTCCCCTGAACATTAAATGCATACTTCTTCCTGTTTCAGCTGTTGTAATTTCTTTTCTTTCAGAAGTAATGTCAATCATCAAATATATTTCTGAAGTCATGGGTGAAGTACACGCAGAATCCAGTATCCATTCCATTTGTTGATTTCTTGAAACATTGTAGTGTTCAACATTTTTTGTTGCATGAGCACTTCTTTTGTTTCTTTCATTAAATGTTTTATTCCAATTTCTTTGATTACTATTATAAATTGTATGAGTTGGTTTCTCATTTCTAAACCAACAATTTTTCAATACATCTCCACTATTACCACAGTTGTAACAAATATTTTATTCTCTTCAGTTTTAAGAACAGCTGCATCTTTATTAACATTATATTGCATGTACCATTTTTCATATCATAAAAGGCTCTCTCTCATTGACTCAAAATCAACATGCAGATTGGCACACAAAAGTAAACTTCCTTTTGTCATGACCATGTTGATTTTGAGCATGGGCCATAAATGTCCTCATAGAAAGTTCAACCTGACACTTTCTAAAATAAAAAGTGTTTAATTTAAGTAATTATCTATGTTGCAGCTTCACTGTAATATTTTGGCAAACCATCTACTCCGTAATGGATAAGTTTTTCTTCTTTCACTTTTGACTCAATTCCGAAATTTGACATGCCAAACCTCGTTAGAAAGCCCCCAATAGTTTCTCTTCCATCTTCTCTATTCTCGCTAACTTTATTTTCAACATAGTTGATGCCTTTCTGTTACTTCAAGTCTTTTCTTTAAAGTTTCCAAAGTTCTTGAGCACTTTTAATTACTCTGTATGCTAAGCCTGTTCTGACAATGTTGAAATAATCATTGCCGTGATTTATAAGACCAGTTGCACCATTTCTTAATACTTACTTCATCCAGTTTGTCTAATTATGGTTCGTTTATAACATCTTCATATAAATGTTTCGACTTGAGTGCACTTATTCTGACTCCTTAAGTTATAACTGAAATTTGTTAATATTTCAATTTTCCCAACTGTTTCTTCAGCTGTTATTGTAATTCACCTCTGAATTTTCCTTCACAATCATATGCTCTGCTACCAGAATTATTATTGTACCTACATTGTCACTCTTTTATATATACATGAAGTATACAGGATAGAATCACAGCTCACAATGAAAGACTATTACTCATACATAACAACCATCTGTAGGTAACCAATCATATTGTTAGTCTCATGATTCCACATCGTAAATAAACATAAGTGTAGGGGCTCTTCAACTACTTAGATTATTCAGGTTCATTAGAAATTATCTAGTGAGTAGTTGGTAGTATTGGTGATAATGATGGAGCAGCAGTGAAAGAAGAAGTGGGGAGATTAGTGTGTTTCTTGGAATAGTTTTAATGGAGATCATTCAATTACATTACTATTGCTACCAAGGTTATCATTTTGTGTAGCAGATATTCACATATATTTACTAAAGACTTAATTAATTTGCAAACCTTTGTGCTTTAAGAAATGTAATCTGAGGAAGGGTTAACCCAATTATGATTCATTTATTTTGGACAAACTCCTTAAGTTTCACGAATTATGTTAATTAAATATGATTTAAAACAATTTCTCTGAGTACACCACAGCCAAACTTTAATAATTTTTTCCAAATTGAATCGATTTTACTATGATACCATAACAGCTAACTCACAGGGGCAGATCCAGTCGATCATTTTGGAGGGGGCCATCATAGATTTAAGCAGGGCCCTATAACTCCCATATAACGTGGTGGAGACCATTACGGTGGCGCGTTCTGCTGCATCACCTTCTTTACATGAACTAAAACACGAACTGTTGCCAACGATACTTTAAACGTGCGTGGCTACTGCGTGAGTTCGCGGGTCGCAAGCAGGCCCATAATGTTGCAAAAGATAACGTATATGTTCGCGCATTCTTCAGTGGTTTCTTATAAGTATATATTTTGAATAATAGTACATTTATAAGACACTTTTCGTATTTCTCACAAATTAGCAAATTTGTATGTGGGAAAGTTGGCGAGCCTAACCTGCAGCTGCACCCGGCGACACTAGCGCCTCCTATAGTAGCAACCTTGAACTTTGTCCCCAGTTTTGGTGGAGAGTTGCCGGGCCCTGGATTAAAGTTAACAATGAAAATATTCATTATATTCCATATTATTTATGTACTGTAGATGATATACTCTACAATATGATTGTTTAAATAATTACATAATTCAAATATAAATATTTAAATCAATTTTACCAAATAAATGAAGGTAAACAAGAACTATTCGCCTGCTGGGGGGGGGGGGGCAATGGCACTACCCTGGATCAGCCAGTGCTTTACCAAGAACAAAAGGAATCTTGCCTTTGTCATGACAATGTTGATTTTGTGCACGTGCTATAAATGTCCTCATTGCAAGTTCAACCAGACACTTTCCAAAATAAAAAGTGTACAATTAAAGTGATTATCTATGTACAGATACAAAAGTTCAGTTTTTAAAATAGAAACTTCACTCACTAATCAACTGTAACGTGAATCCTGTAAAACGCTCAATAGGCAAACTTGTTTGGAAGTTCCTAGTGTATAAAATGCCCAAGTGGTACTACGGTTTTCTGAAAGTAGCTAGAGCTAACATTTCAGCTAAAACAAGTTTGCACCATTTCAGCGAGTTGGAACTTATTTTACCTGAAATCACAGCATAAAGGCAGAAATGTTGGCTCTTCAATAAAAAATACTATTTGAAAAACCAAGATACTAGTGTACATTCTTTTCCTGTTACATTTAAAATCCTAATATTTTCAATAACAGAATATCGCTTGATCATAAGTTATCACTAGAGTTGTGGCTTATATGCAATAAAAACAGTGAAATATTCGCGTATATATGGAATTAAAAAAGAAAAATATGCAAAATAGTGTAAAGAGGAAATTATGTTCACAGGAAAAAAAATCATATTTTATCTTATTTTTGAAGAACACTAATTTCTTAGAAAAATAATGGGAGCTGGAGTTAATGTACATTTCACAAAATAAAAAATATAAAGGTATTGCAACAAAAGTATGACTTCTCAGTTCATGGGCCTAAATCGTTACGCCACTCCAGGTTTGCGCCGTGTCGGCACCAGGTGGGCACGCACAGGCGCTCAGCCGATGCACTTTCCATTTCGACCGATACTGCCGATGAGAGGTCTTAGCGTAAGTCATGTGAGTGACAGCACTGATCCGTGGCTATGGCAACGTAAACAAATCCTCGGAAGCCCATTGCTTCTGAGCAGGTCACATGCTGTACCATTGCAAGGGGCGAGAAAACTGTCAGAGCCGCTTACATACTAACGAAACTGCAACTTTTTGGCTCCTTTTCACAAGGGGGTGAATATGCAACGACAATATGCAATTATGGTAATACATGCGAAATAAAAATAGTTAAAATTGGTTCTAAATGCCTCAAAAAATATACAATATGTTGAAACGGAATGTTTTTTTTAATTAAAAAAATAAATTAAAGAGCATATGGAAATCACAATATGCATCACATTATGCCTTGCGTAGAAAAGAAAAAGGAAGCCCTGAGATGTATTTCATATTTAGCCGTATCCTTAGGTTCGAGTAATGAAATTTCTACAAGATTTAGAAAATTCTCACATTTCCCTATGCAGATAATTCTCTACTTTTTTAACGTTAGATTAATTAATAGAACATCTGTACTTTCCAATTGGGTTTTAACATAAGTTCCATTTGTAATACTCTCGAAACATAGCAACCTACAAACATTTTTTAACAATATCCTTTATTTCAAAGCACTTCGATTTAAGAGACGTAAATGTATGCAGATGAATAGTATGCACACGTCAAAATTCATGAGAATATCCAATTATTTCCACACGGACCAGATAGAAACTCTTCATGTATACTTTTAACTTTCTCGCGCTGAAAAAGGATCTTCTTAAACAGAGAATGTTATGTAATGCTGCGCGAAAAAAAGGCGAATTTTCGTCAGAAAAACGAAAAAGTGGATTAACCCCTGGCAACGAAAAAGTGGATTAATCCTGATGGTAAATTTAGGGGGCAAAATCCTCCAACACATGGTGTAGCCAGAATCCCTGTTGTATGGGTCATTGATACCAAAAAAAAAAAAAAAATGGATTGATGGCAAAACGTTTACGTCCGTGAACAAAGCTAGTAGCTAAACCGTTCAGTTGATATTCTACAACAATCTGGCTAATGTCGCGGTTACATGAATTTGAAACCGATATTTTAATGTTAGGGGTTCTTTAATGCAATGAGTCATACAGACTCACTGCACAGCTCGGCCCTCGCGTCACGCTGAATAAACATATTTCTAGGCAAAGAGTGCATCTTTGCACATTCGCCACGCGCAGCTGCGTGTGCGCCGCGAACCGAGAATTTCACAGCCAGCGTCCGTCCCCGAAAGGCACCATTCCATCCCTTTGTAAAGCAGTAGGTGACGGACAACCACAACTGTTACATTAAGAGGCGAGAACAGCCCACCATAAATGACTAAGCGACTATAAATCACATGCGAAAGAAGACTAGCCCATGGGAAGCTTCGCGACGTGATAGGTCGGGCACTTTTCGAGAGGGGTAGGGACGGAAAATCGCAGGAGCACAAGGCGCTAGGTGGCCACACTTGGAAAAAGACTGTTGAGGCGAGCGGTTGGCTTCTCCCTTCGAGATTCAACGACGATTATAGCTATACGGAAGCTGTCGATAGTCTTCAGCCATTATCTTCCCGCATCGGAATGCAGTCCGGATGCCGGTCTAGAACGGTTAGCGTAACACCCACAAAGTACACAACAGGGTGTGCAGCCTTATTATTCGGCTGCCAAACATAATACGCGGTCCAGGCGACGTATGACGACCTGTGACCCGCGCATCGAAAGTCGCTGTTCCGATCCCGCGGACAGCCGTGGAAGATCTGCCCAGCCAGGCGACGTGTTCCTGCCGACTAGAGATGTCCATGGTTCTCCAACGGGTCGTCTGCTGCCACCGGCCTATATCTGACGTGTAATCCTTCGGAGTGACGTATCAGAAATTAATTCATCCATTCCCGTAAGTGTTAACGTTCAACTTTAATTGTTAACGTTAATAGCCAGAGTAAAGCCCTAAAGGGAATATTATGTAAAAGAGGACTTACTATACCAATAAACGTGTCCCCGCCATTTTGGTCGGGTGGCCACACAAGAAAAATGTGCATTATTTAGTAGTTAGTAAGCAAATGCAATCCATTCGACCCAGTACGCTCATCCCTGCAGATGTCAGGGCTCGGTACCCAGATAATGGTAGACATATGCTTGGCGCCCTCCCTAATAAATTTCGCGCGTGCTCCTGGTATCTGGAAACAACCGTCGCACCTTCAGTGTGATGGCAGCTCTTCCCCTACGATAGTGTAATTCACGGCGGCACGGCAAAAATTGTCTCGCGTGGTTCATTACATTAAATGAAAACCTGGGACATTTTCAAAAAAAGGGCGCCATTGATTTTGATTGAATTTTGTAGTTGGATAGTCTGAAGAACGTTTAAAAGAATAGCGCAGGTCTTATGTTGGTTGAAAACTCGGATCTTTCGAAAATTGAAAATATTCAAAGTATTTTTCGGCGTCTTACAACAACTAAAATATAGAGGTAGAGATTTTTTTCCTTACTGAAATATGATAATTTTGAAGTAAGGTCATGTACAATATTTCAAAATTTGAGAATTTTTTGCGCAATGTTGCGAGAAGAAGCCAATTTTCAATTTGTTTAACATTTTTTTCTCAAAAAACAGCTGCATCGTTTTTTATGAAATTTTGTTGGTGGATAGTCTGAAGGGCATTTAAGAAAATGGTGCAGGTCTCATGTTGGTTGAAAACCCCGATTTTCCGACAAGTGAAATAATTCACAATTTTTTCGGCGTTTTCCCACAACTACAATTATGAGGATACTTTTGTCTTTCTCAATGAAATATGTTCCTCAACCACACGCTCTCAAATAAGCTCATGTTGATTTTTTTCAAAACCGAGTACATTTTGAGTAATTGGGCGTCAAAGTTAGTCGCGTGCTCTGAAAATACTGCGCTTCACGATCGTAATTTTAGATGTTTTGAGGCAGTTGGATGCTCCACAAGTTAGATTGTGCATAGTATTTCATATTTATTTGATAGTTTCTTACATTGGAGCTTTTGCTATACTTTTACAAATTATTTGAAACCTATTTGAAATAAAGATTTCTAGCCTTCAGTTGCCCACTCCCAATTTATGCAGTTGGATGCTATGTAAGTTAGAATTTGTATATTATTTCATATTATTAATAACATATTTATGTTACTTAATTTTAAATTGCGTCCATCAATTGTGTTAAATGTGAAAATGAGCGGTCAGTGTAGGTTTAATCCGCACAGATCACCCGATATTTTTTTTATTTGCAGAAATAAAAATGAAAACTCATATACATTAATAGAATATTACAATGTCATATACTGTGATTTTTGCAACTCTTCTAGCAGGTATCTGCTATTGACAGTTTCATCCTATTGGGAACTTCAACATCACACTAAGGTAAAATTCAAGCTCCCGATTGGATGAAACCATCTACAACTCATACCTGCCAGCGGCAGAGTTGCATAAATTGCAGTAGTGTTAAATTAAATACTATTATATATTTTTCAATGTATTTGTTTTGCAACACACTCAGTATCGTGTTATTAATTAACTTTTAAATGTTTTACTTCCTTGGATTCTATTTTTCGCAGCAAATGTTCTAATAATTTCAATGAGGTTTACAAAAAAGAATTTGAAGAGAAATTGTGGTATAAATCAATGAGCTAGAATATACTAGTTCTTCATTACTAATGGCGAGAAAGAACGTGCTGTTAGAGCACCTTTAGTAGTTTCATTTTTTAATTTTTTTTTTAACCACACAGAACCGATTAATTATATTTGTGTAGCATCATTTTTTTAAGTGAAAATAGTTTTAAGAGACCACAGATTTTTTTCCTTTTTCCAGCATTTAAAATAAATGCTTGGATATGTTTTACTACAGAAAACCTTGAGGATATGTGCTTGAATGTCACTTTTTTTTCTTCCCCCCTCCAATAATGATGTTTTGACATGTTCCAAACCAACTTTAAGATCTTTAACATGTTAACAAGTTTTCAGACTTGTAGAAAACCTTTTAGGAACAAAACAAAGAACCATTTCTCATATTTTTATTAGATACCTACCAACTTACTAAGTCCTGTAAAATTTTCCTCGAAGTCCAATTGAATCTTGTTATTCTGAAGCTGCAAAATACTGATAATCACACAAGCAAAATGGCAAGAGATGTAATTTTTATTTGATCATTCAATATTTGTAAGTACACAAACTGTCTTTTCTCATCACTTTCAGAATAGAAAAACAAAACAAGATTAACATTTAGTTAATAATAGTCACAATTTATCCTTTCACTGACTTTGTATTGTCAGATAAGCTGTTTTCTGGGATAATTTTTGCAACTTTTCGGAATTCCTTGACGTAGGTCTTTGGACACTGCATTTCCGTCCAACTTATTGGTATCATTGGTATACCTTAAAAAAAAAACAAAAAAACACCACTTTAGAAAATTGCAATTTGAGACTGTATATTGTAAAGGTCAATATGATCAATGTGTCAGCAAATACCTGCTTCACTGTGAGCAATTGCAACACCAAGTTCATTCTCTGCAGTTGAAATTTGATAACAATGTGCATCAGTCATAGGTAACTTAACATTTAATTAAGAAAAATGGAACTTCTGTAATGTGTGCGAACTTACTTAATCCATCTCCACAATGATGAAGAATAGTACACCAAAAATTCCCGAATAAACCATGACAAACAACCAGCAATACAGCGTTTTTTTAAAGAATTTATTATATCTCCAAAAAATTAGATATCAAAAAAATAGTAAGCTAGAATATGAAAAAGTGATGGCAATCATTTTAATATTGCTGGTTGAGACAATTCAATCACATGTCTAGGTAACAATAAGCTGTCAGAAATTTAATTCAAATATTTTAAAGCAAAATAATGAAGGTAAAGTCACTTTCTGCAAAATATGAAATGAAAAACTTATGTAAGTATAAAGAAATGTCTATCTCCAGGTTGCTTGCTTGAAAAACATGTAAACAGCAGAAGAGAGAAAATGTTAAGTAAATTGCAATTGAAAAACCGTTTATATGGAACTGGTAGTGAAATCTTATTGAATTAAATTTTATTTATTAACCTACCCCCTTTAAACTAATGACATGCTGCAATTGGAACCTTCTTATGTCAGTCAGATTCTCAATTTCCTCTCACCACAGTACAGATTCTGAAATACTGTGAAGAAAACATCTTATTTAAATGAACTGCATGTATATTTTCATCATGCTGCTAATTCACAAGTCTGGTTTAATTTATTTTGTAACATGAAGTTTGGAGTAATTCTGTGCAGGGGAAGATCAACAGTCCTTTCTGGTCAAAAACATCAACATACCTTTTCTGGAAAAGATGTTTCTTTTTAAAGGTGAAGTCACAATCAGATGGAACCATTGCAATTAGGAAATATTTTTTCAGAGTTCAGATATACCACTTTCAAAAGCTTTGCATGTTCACAATAGCTTTTCAAAACTACATTTTTCAGCAACTGGCCCCGGTACAAGTTAGTCTGCGAGTTTGAATCTGGCATAGACAATGGTGTGCATTCTGGAATGCATTCCTAGCTCACTACTTCACCACAAATTCTATCCTTAATTCCCTCACCTTCCCTGGTACATTGTGAGAGTATGGTAAAATCAGGTTTAGTCACAGTGTTAGATGAAGCCTGATTTCCTCTTAACACAAGACAAAGTTATGGTTTCACAAGCCACATCATCCAGAAGACCCATGGTGGCTGTATCCAATTAACAAATCTCATTTGGAACAAAATTTCTGTGAGCATTAAAAGGTGAAAAAGACACAAAATAGAAATACTTACACTTCTTCTTCTCCCTCAAGCATTACACCGGTTGGTCCGTTGCGCTTCCTTGATCTAACCATCTTCTCCTGGGTCTACCAACGCTTCTTCTTCCTTTAGGGATGTACTGAAGCACTTGCTTTGGAATACGGTCGTCTTCCATTCTTTCCAGGTGATTTTTCCATTGTTCTCTGTATTCCTTAATTTTTTCATTTAAGTTGTAAATTCCTATATTTTTCCGGATGGTATTGTTTTTTTAATCTGTCCATTCTTGTTACTCCCAGGACTGATCTTAAAAATCTCATCTCGGTTGCTTGAAGTCTACTGTGTGTTCTGGAGTTCATAGTCCAGTTTTCGCTTCCGTAAAGTCCGCAAGGCACTGCCATAAATTTATAAAACTTAAGCATTGTGTCTTTACGGACCTTTCCTTTGAGTGCTCTTTTGATAGTGTAACACATCATATTGAATCTTTCTATTTTCCTTACAATATCAACTTCGCCGAGATATGTCACATCCTCGAAATCTAAAGGTATTAACCTGTTCAATAATTTTGTTTTTTAATATGAATTTAGATCTTATAGGTTATGAGCCTTGGAATGCCATGGATTTGGTTTTATTTGTAGATATACTTAGATTATATTGTTTTGTTACTTTATATAGTTCATATCGTGCCCTTTGCAGATTATCTTCTTTATCTGCAACTAAAATCTGGTCGTCAGCAAACATAAAAGTTTTAATAAAATTTGTTCCTTTCAAATTGTCTTCTATATTACGTTTCATGGTCTGTTGTTTCCATTCTCTCACAGCATTGTCTAGATATAGATTAAAAAGTATAAGTGAAATACAACACCCTTGTCTGACCCCTTTATCAATATTTCCTTGTGCAATAATTCCAGATTTTAGTTTTATGTTTATCTGTGTTCCAAGGTATATATTTTGTATAACTTCGATCAAGTGCAATGATATTCCTCTTTTTTCCATAATTTTCCTCTGTGTACACTATCGAATGCTTTACTGTAATCAACAAAGACTATGTAGGTCTTTAGGTTGTATTCTCTTCTTTTTTCTATTATTTGTTTTAATATAAAGATATTATTCGAGCAGGAAACCGGAAACCTGTTTGTTCTTTAAGTAACATACTGTCTACAATGTTTCTCAATTATTTACTATTATCTTCCCATATATTTTATATGCCGTATTCAGAAGACTTCAGTACACCTCTATAATTTTCACAGTCAGTTCTTGGTCCTCTTTTAAAAATGGGTATTACTATTGCTTTCTTTCCATTCCATTGGTATTCTTTTTTGTTGCCAGCATTGATTTAGAAAATCTAGAAGCCTATATTTGTTCTCTGGCGTAGATATTTGAAATAATTCTATTATTTAAATATGTCTGAGCCTGGAGTTTTTCGGTTTTACAACTTTGTAAGGCGCTTTTCTGAAGTTCATTGAATTCTATCTTTATACAATTTCTGATATACATCTGTTATTTTCCTCCTCTTCATCATTTACATCTTCTCCCTCTTCTTTTGTCCATAGTTGTTTACAGAACTTCATCCATTCTTTTCTATCTAGAAGATCTAAATTTGCTGCGTCTTTTTCTTCTCTGTTTAGGTGTTTAATAATTTTGTAAGCAGTATATTGTCGACAATGTACATCTCTTTCTATGTTAGATATGTATCTTTCCCAGCTTTCCTTGTGTGCAGCTTTTACTATTTTTTTTGTTTATCTTCTTCGTATTTTATATTCCTCCAATGTCTCAGGAGTTTTCGTCATGAGCCACTGTAGATATGACTCCTCCTTTCTTTGAACTGCACGTTTCAATTCTTCATTCCACACATTAAGTCCCTTTTTTGGCTTATATTTATTCCTTTTTCCTAAGGTTTCAAAAGCTACTCTTTCTATCAGTTGGGTTAGCTTCTGCCATTCTTATTCAATATTCGTGCTGATGGGTTCCTTTAGCATGTATAGTCTTATACGTGATTGAAATAAATTTCTGATGCTAGGGTGTTCTAATAGGTTAGTTTTCCATACTGTTTCCTTTATTGTGATCTTTTTGCGTGTTGTTCCTGCCCATTTAGTTTTAAGGATTACTTTCCCTCTTACTAGGAAATGATCTGAATTTATATCCATTCCTCTCATCACACTCACATCCTGAAATAGTTTTCCCATCTTTTAATTTGCAATTAAATAGTCAATTATTGATCTGTATCCTCTGTTCACCCATGTAAATTTATGGATATCTTTATGTCTCAAGAACGTATTTTCTATTCGTAATGAATTAAAATTCACAAAATCACGTAACACTTTTCCTTTTTGATTAATTACTACTTCTCCGTTTGTTCCAATTATTTCCTTAATGGGCCGTTGTTCTATCCTAGCATTCATATCACCTCCTAGGACTATATAATCATTTTTATTTGTGGCATCTAGTACACTTTGTAGGCTTTCATAAAATTTATTAGATTCTTCCTTTCTACCCCCTTTAGGAGCATACACTGATATAATACTCATATCCTCTAGCTATTTTGAATCTGCATGTTACAATTCTTTCATTTACTCAACTTTAAGAAGTTATCCTATTTCTTCATTTCTCATTTATTAGAATAGCTGTTCCTGCTACTGCTCTATTTTCGATAGGTACACCGCTATAAATTAATGTATAGTTTCCCAGATCACATGATCCCCTCTGCTTCTTTTTAGTTTCAGATAACATAATCAAATCCAGTTTAGCTCTCCTGACTTCTCTCAGCAATTCGTATTCTTTGTTAGCTATGCTTCGTACATTCCAAGTTCCTATATTGACATGTTCTGATATACCAAGACATTTGTCCTTTAACTTTGCCAATGTCGCTACCAAAGGATTTCCTTGTTTACAATCAATGAGTGAGCACGTAATAAGAATCTCCCCTGGCCGCGCTACAAACGCTGCGCAGGGAAAGTTTGGTAGTGGGGCTGCCACCTCACAGCCCCCAAACTCGCAGGATTTGTATAAGGTTTTCTCCCTAGACAGATTGCTTTCGCTTCAGCTCTGAGGTCTGTCCTCCGATTAAGAAGCATAAGAACAGGATCTATAAGAAGATTAATAGTTTACAGAAAGTAGAAGATCAGGAAGGGAAGACTTCCTAGCCCTCGCAACCTAATAGCATCAGGGTCGAAAAATACAAGGGGTCGAGAGTGACCGAAATAGGACAGTTAAAAGAAGTATGGCAAAAGTAAGTGGAAGCATCGCCATACTAGTGAAAAGACCCTCCTCCATTATCCGGGCTTGGGACTGGCAGTGCCTGCAAGCAGACCCAGGCGAATACATACACATTCCAGCAAATGAAAATCATACATTGAAATTGCACCTGTTTAACTGAAAAGTGTTTGAAGTTCTGAAGTAAAGTGTACATAATAAAATTACTATACAGGTGCGTTTATGAAGGATACTACTCTAGCAAGTATAATGTCACCCGGTCTAAAACTTTTGTACATTTCAACCTTGTCCTTTTCTGTTGCTCTGACATCTTCCTTGCGTAAAATTGCTCTGTAAGGACGAGAAAGCACAGTATCTCTTATGCATTTAATAACACACTTTAAAAACCGCTGATTCACGATAGTAACCTGCAAAATCACACAAATATTATCAAAATAAATGTCTTAATTTCCTTGAAGTTATGAAATTTACTTAAATGAATAAATTTATGTCTTTGCACATTTATTTTAAACAAAACAATTTTAATTTATTTAAAGAAATACAGATAATTTTATCAAATACTAAGCATATTTTATTAAAAAAAATTGCACCAACAATGAAATACAAATAACGACCTATCAAGGACTTTTTTTACGTTATTTAATGTTAATTAAAAACATAATTCAAGAGTAATTAATAAATTATAAATAATGTAGAGAATAATTAAATTAATTGTTCCAGGGTGAAGAATATTAACTAATTTTTCACACAAACAAAATATTTTGAATGAGAGCCTCTTCACTACTGGGTGAAGGGCTTCAATATGAGGTATAATTAAGGGCACCACTAAAATTACATAATAGTCTGAAAGAACATATTACGTTTCCTGCATTTTTATAAAATAACAATACCAAATTTATTCAAACACTATTTTTTTGGTTAACTATGAACTTCAATTTCCCAGCTCACTAGCAATAGTTTTCTTGAATATTATATGCAGGTAATAATTCAACAAATATTCAATATTTAGTTTACAATTTTTTCATATTATTAGTGTACTATTAATGTTTGACGCCACTTAATTAATGTCAACATACCTTTGCTGTCACAATATCACCAGGTACTGGTACAATACTTTGATCATTACTACAATGCACCTCAATAGTACGTTTCTGAATTAAAAACAAAAACACCAAATAGAGTTTCTTCATTAACAAAAAACATATACTACAATTTAATACAGATAAACATCAATTCCAAAATTGGAATAAAATATTTAGAACAATGTTTTCATCAAATTTTATTTTTATTCATATTTTCATTCAAAATTAATAGTCAAAAACAAGCCAAGTCTACTACACAATGAGGGTTAATTTAGCATTAATCTGGAACTTTTGGAACCAGGGCTATTTGCATTGATTTATCCCACCACTAACACAGGTGGATTGAAATTAAAAAAATATTTTCAGGAAGGGGTTGAGTCCTTCCCCACCATGTTTATTTACAATTTCACTAGTTCAAAGGACGAAACGTATGATAATCAGGCGTTTCTTAATTTCAGCCTGATCAGAAATATACATATGAATAATACAAGCTGATCTCATTTCTACTGCTTCTGAAATACACAATCGCTTTTTGCTGCTTGAAATTCAAGGATGAAGTTTACTCGGTAGTTCTTCACTCTTTAAGTTCACAATTCCGTAATTTTCAATAGCACAATCTTTAATATTATTATTTCTTCATTTACAATTAATGACATTTGCATACAAAATACCATTTTGCTTCCAACTAGTATTCAAATGTTCTTTGGGCAATAAACAAATAGAGAATAACTATACCACTCTCACCGTTCTAAAGAATAGCTTTTATTTCCGCGAAAGGAATACTACTCGCCAAATACGCCTTTTCCTACCTTGTCATTTTTTGTTACATTAACAATCCCTGCTAAAGACGAATATATGTAACCATGCTTCTCGTAAGTGCCACATCCTGGAATATGCTCTTTGTCAGCCAGACACAATCTTTGACCTGAAAATCATTCGAAAGACATTTAAATAATACTGGCTACTTCAGAAGAACTTAGTAGGAGCCCTTACTTACCTGGAATACATATCATTTCGGAGGAATATGATTCTGGCATTTCTTAACGAAGGAACATCTGACAATAAACATACAATTTTATCGACATTGCAATACAGAATTAAATACTAAGTAATTAATTCGCTATAGAGTATCGTGGCGAGACCACTATAAATCGATAATATAATAGTATATTAAAAAAATGCATCACAAATGAGTCACTAGTTCCTATCTGACCTCATCCAGGAGCAATATTCCAGCACGATTGGGGATTGGGTTGCTTTAATGCATTAAGTTACGGAAAACCCAGTGGGGTGACACTAGAATAGGGCACATCCGGTCCTTTATTTCAATTCCATACAGTAGCCAATTCAGAGTTCAGAGTGACGCCAATATACATCTGTCAACACCAACTCGCTCAAGCGGAGAATCGGTGAACTAGTTTTTTCATTTTGAAATTTTTTCGCAACGAGCGCGGTTGGTTACCGTTGGATTCCTTCCTCGTCGACCTATCGTTGTATATTCACTGCTGTTCGTAGGGCTGTTAACGCAATATCGCAGTCAGTGAATTAGAGAAATGAAGTGATTTACTGCTGTTTGAAGTCTGAAGCGTGCATTTTGGCTTCGAGAAGATGATGGTGCGTAAACAAATAGTGGAATTTTTTTTAATGTTCATGTTCAGTTGCATACCCCTTGTTTGCCAAGCGAGGTGGCACCCACTGCAGTATGGAGTATATTGGTAAGATTTTTTAATAGAATATTACTAGAAATAATAGTTTTATAGAATATATTTTTTATATGTTTTAAATAGAATATATAGTTCAACTGGGAGGCTATGATACCATCATTTATAATTTTCGATCCTTGTACACAGGCAGCTTTTCAAACTGAAATGGTAAAGTCTCTTGTATGTTTGTAAATGCAAAGAAAGCAATTGCTATGAAAGCAATATGTATTGGCAATAATTTGTTGTTGGATTAATACAGGTTCTAGTGCTGTTGAACATGCTGCCACAGCAAGTGCGCAGATCTAATTTATTCTAGCCTTGTGAAAGGTAAATATTTGCTATGATCTTTAAGAATCTCAATATTATACTTGTTGCATTTATTGAAGATGGGATAGATTTCAAGTTTGTTCATTATTCAGATCTTTTTCACCCATGTGAGGTGTCACCTCAAGTTTTTATGGACTTTCTCATGGTATGTTCCTTTCAATAATACAGTTATTAGTGCCAATTGAGGGCAAATTAATAGTAAACAAAAAACCTATTTTTTCGGTGATTAACAATCCTATGTATTGGACTGGTGCAAGAAAAGCATTCTGGGAGAATAGATATCTGCGCCTTCGGTGATGTGGTAAGTGCACGATATTCCTGTGCTTTCTAAATTTCGTAATTCTAAGATGGTGATTAAAAGAAACATCTTTCTTTTTTGATACAGATTTGTTTTCAGAACATTCTATTGAGGACATAGTATCTTTTTTACCAATCATTTTTTGCTTTTCAGATCCTACTTCACAGAGATGGCTTTACTGAAGGCGTGCATATTAGACCCTACGAGTTTGCCCTAAGTGGCTTTAAATTAATGTTCACTTTGAGGAATCAGATCTCAGAGAGATAATTTTCAAAGAATTATTGTTATAAATGCAGTGAATAACTTGCTTCATTGTGCACAAAGTTTTTGCACATATTTCTTTTACGCTTACAGGTTTATAAAGGTATGAACAATGAGAGTGTATCTGTCATTGGGTACAGATCCATTATATAAACTGTAATTTCCCCACATCTGATTTGGAAAGTTCTAATTAAATAAAATTTAAAGATAAAATTAATTCTGTAATGCATGATCGTTTTCTCAATTTTGGAATGCCTCTTGCTATGTTAAGACACTTTATTTGAATATTATGAATACAAAGGTTTTGATTTCTGTTTCAGAGGCTATTTTTCATGCAATTTTAGAATTTATTTAATGGCTATTATCTAGTCTGCAATTTGTTTCTTTCTTATTAGTATTAATTTTTATTATTAGTATTGATATAAGTTGCTTATGTATTGTTATACTGTTCTTACAATAATAGTTTCTCATGACAAACACAATCTTGATTCAATTTATATTCTAGTATGTGCGTATCATTGTGTTTTGTTCATCGTCATGCTAATTACATTCTGGTTATGAATGCTGATCCTTTTTAGATTGTGAAGTGTTTGTGAGTCGTGAATGCAATGCTTGATTCTATAGCTCAGTTATTAGGACATTGCCCAGTTATCAGAAGGTCCCAGGCTTGGCTCCTGGTACAATCAAATGTTTGCACTTTGACAATCCACTTTCAGAATTATTATTAAATTGTATTGCATAAGCATTGATGGAATTCCACTGTTTGTTAATCATTGTTTTAAAGGTGAATGCACTTTCACAGTGGATCCATTTTTAAAAAAGCCAGGCTCTGAACTGTGAATGTGTGAGATTGGCATGGGTAAATAAAATATGTCAAATATTTATTGACTAATGAAAAACATTTGTAGTTTGCAACTAGTAAAAGCGGTTCTTTCAAGGCATGTAGAGCATGCTAAAGCTCAATTTATTGCACTACTGCTTAAAGCGGGACAATGCTCAAATGTTCTGATAAAACTTTGAAAGCAAGAAAGAAAACAAAATACATTCATGTGACCTAATCAGATCAAAAATAAAATGGCGCTTTTACCCCTTGTATCATAATTATTTCTTTTACCTGGGCAAATGTGTGGTAGTATTTTCACTTGTTTCTTTTCAATTCTGTTATTATTTGTTCATAGTGCTTGTTATAATGTAGTATTCCATAGTATTAATTTGGCATATCTACAAGCAAATACTAAAGTTGCAATTATGCAGGTGTACTGTTTATTACTTTCTGTAATTCAAAGTTGTTATTACTAATGAAATTGCGAAATTGTATAATATCAATATGCTCAATAAATACTAGATTTTACTACCCTAATTGGACTTTTTTCTTCCATAAAATCCTTATAATTATTATTGTGAATTTTTTAATAAATTAAGGCGTGGAAAGTATGGGAGTGAAATTTTTAAGTTCTCGCGTCGCTAGTTTATTTCAAATTTACCGGTTACTTCTTCGCTATTGGCTGTCCGTTCACCCGAAAGAAATTATACAGAACAATGTGGCGGAAGTTTGGCAAATAAGGCTTTTCCTTTTAACATAGAGTGCCGTCTCTGATATATACTCTTTGGATACAGCACACCATATTGTGGCCTTGTAGTGGTCGCTGATGAAACTCAAGGATTTTCCTGTGCCCAAGAATGAAAATTCTGTTTGTCCACTAATCCGTTGAGGTGGAAACGGGCTTCATCTGATATCCATATATAAAAGAAAGCACTTGTTAGCAACAATGGCTCCTATTTAAGTCATTGTAAAGAATGTGACTCATCCTTCAAGAATAACATAATGCTGCATATTTCCGAGTCTTACAACCCGCTGAAAACTACACACAAATCACATGAGCTCGAAAAAACATGATGTTGCACGACGTGCCTGCGGCCCTGACACATTCTCTTAGCTGAGAATTCCGTAAATCTTTACAATACGAAAGAACCGCAAAATGGCCACGCACGATCTAAAATTGTAATCTTCGTGAAAGAAATCTTTGGGATTATCTAAGGCGCTGGGCCGCAAGGCTGGAGTTAACCGCTCGCTCCCCACCACCTTGGCACCACAGCCGCCCGGTCACACCACTCGCAGAGTACTTGCAGCCAGAATACGTGTGGGAGGGCAACGCTAAAAGCGAACTCTTCGCGGAGACGTTTGAACGGTTCCACCCATTCTTCCCAACGGCATTCCACGAGCTTTCTTAGAGATAAGCAATTCGAGTTTCGAATTGGTCTCAGTTCCGCGCAACAACTGACGCTGCTATGTATCGAGATATGTCTCCCTCTCTCTCTCTCCCTCTCTCTCTCCCCCTCTCTCTCCCCCTCTCCATCTCCCTCTCTCCCTCTCTCTCTCCTCTCTCTCCTCTCTCTCTCTCTCTCTCTCGACGGTAGAACTTGCCGATGGTCTTTCTAGACATGCGGTCGGCAAAGACGAGACGTTTCCGGCGTGTCACAGGGAAGCGTGCTCTCCCCGACCCAATTCGGCCTGAACGTCAACGACGCGCCGCTACCAGTTGAAAGAAACACCGGCATTCCACATTGCGAGCTCCTAAAGTTCGCGCATGATTTCGTTTAATAGGCGAAGTCGGCGAACAAAAGGAAATCGGTGAGATATTAGAATGATTGCCTCGCTGAGCTTCCCGAATGGCTGAGTCTAAAAAACCAACGTGTTCGGAGTTTTGAAACCAATTCTTCCGGGACTTCAAAGACGCTTCACAACGGGCGCTGTGCCGAAGGCACCACGCATCTTGCGCGACACTGACCGAGATTCGAACAGCGACGCGCATAGGTACTATGTACAGAATGGCACGAAGCGCGACGCCTTCACCTTCCGCGCGCTGCCCCACGACACGCTTGTTTCCGTGTGCGAGCGAGCAGAGCTGAACGCGAGGGGAAAAACTCGCCATCGCCCGAGTGTCACGCGGGGAACGCGACGCCGCGCCCCACCTGCCATGCCTCCCAATGAACGCGAGCGCCACGGACACTTTGAGCCTCGTCAGAACCGTGGCGAACAGTGCTTTCATAAAGTGTAGTGCAGTAAAGTGCGAATGAATGAGATAGGAAGAATGAATGGTTACGTATATAATGAAATAAGTATGAATGATGCGTGTATGTAGAGAAAAAAATCTCATACATAATAAGAACAATTTCTCTAGTTACTTAGTACGAACTCATCAGAGTGTAAGTTAGGAATGCCAAAGTGCAGGTAATTTAACTTTATGGTTAGAATATTAATCTTAGTTATAAGAAAAAAGCCTCTCATCTAGCTGCTTAATCCGCAAGGCAACAGCTTCATGTACTAATCAAAAGAAAATAATCTCCATAAGGATACTGTTGAGGGGACAAAATGTATATCGTTGTATATCGTTCACACGATAAAACATTGTCTATATTAAAAGGGGTTTCTTGAATTTTGTGTTTATACTACTGTTTCAGAACAAATAGAATAATGGTTAAAGTTAGTTTAAATTTGTTGAAAGTTGAAGATTCTACAGAAATAGGTATAAGCTATCAGAAATATCATAGAATGCAAAAATTCTGTCGTTCACATTTGAAAATGTTTTCAACACTACAGGCAAATTCTTGAATGTTGTGTGTATACTACTGTTTCAGAACAATTAGAATTTTGTTAGTTTCTATTTATCAAAACCAAAAACCTCCACAGAAATAGTTAAATGCTAACAAAAATATTTTAATGATCAAAATTCTCTATCTTCCAAACGT